AACAATACAAATATTGAAAAGTAAAATTATAAATTATTTATATTTCTGTAATTAATTTTTACAAATTCTTTTGTTATGTAAATTTTTTTTAAAAATTTAACAAGTATTATGAAAATATGTATTTAAGGTGTGATTTATATTGCAATTTAACTATTGTGGACACACTATTTTGTGCATTATATATATATATATACACACTATATTCCCCTAATGGAATTATCAAAAAACACTCACTGTTGAGTCATCTAACAAAATTTACAACATTTAGTTTTGTTAAAATGTCATATTTACTCTTATCCCAATATCTAATATCTATAATGAAACACTTTTTATTACTTCCACTCTCAAGTGCACAACATGGCACCACCAAACCAGGGTCACAGTAGCCCCCACATGGCCACCTTTGCAACTTCACAAATGGTCACCAAAAACACCCTATAAACAATACAACAATTCACTCTCATACATACAATCACATTCAAACAATACACAAATTCAAAACACGAAGTGATCAAATTTTTTGTGCTAAGGACTATTTTGTCATTTAATATAAGCATAAATAAATAAAAATGCCCAAAATAACCGAACCTCAATATACATGATTGTATAAATATATGAAAATAGTACTACTATAGTCTCAACCATTGCTCTCCAGCTACAAATGCCACATTCAAATATGGTTTTACTTCCTCATAATTCAGAGACATTGACCATGGCACTCTGTTTCTTCTATCTGCTCCTCTCCCTCTACAATGGTATTCTCCAAACATTACAGTCCTGTAATTGCAAACTCGAATTATATTTCAAAGTTTTAAATAGTTTAAAACATTTCCGTTTTTCATTTTCTGTTTTCTTTAATAAGAAAAGATTCATACTTTTGCCTAGATGGTTGATTCCAATCGCTCCACCCGAATGGAGTTATTATATTGTCGATATCACAGTATGAGTATATTACTCGCGAGTAATTTCCCCAAGCTCTTCCCAGGTAAACAATTCCTGATCCATTAATTGTGCAATTTACAAAAGAGAACCCTGTATCATCATATTGTGAATCTCTATGATGAGCTGCAATTGCTCTAAATCTTTCAGCTGTTGAGTGAAGAACACAGTCCTAGTTCAAGAAATCCAATTCTACAAATCATTATCAAGAAACATATTGGACATATGATTATCATATACAGGTAGTGAGGATTTGAATGATACCTGATAGAGTGATCGAGATCTACCAAATATGAAATCAACAGAACCTTGAATGTAGCACTGAAAAAAATAATGTGATCCGTAATCGTCTAGAAGTGTGTCTTGTGTCCCCAAGACCCTAACTTTGTACAACATGGCTTTATCGGCGGCTAACCTTAATGCTACAGCTTGCATTCCATAGGCTCTAGGGACTGCAACCACTGAGTTCTGGCATACCACATCATTGATGAGAATTGTTGTGTTTTGGGGTTTTTGTTTTAAAAAATATAAAAACAAAAATAGATATGGGTTTGTACCTCAAAGGTGATACCGGTTGCGCAGAAGAAATCAGATTCTATAGTGACAGAAGCTGATCTAGAGGTCCCTAATTGACATCCATTATTGTCTTTATCAGAAGCTTTATCATTCCAAGTGATAATGGTTTGAGAAGTTTGATTTTCATCTCCAATGAATGAAATGTAAGGCTTGGAGTTTGGAACAAACACCTTTTCTCTGCATTGTAATTTAATTCAAGTATTTTGAGATCTATATATGTATACATGTAGAAAAATAAGAAGCTATGATGATGGAAAATGGTACACAAATATAATTTAAAAAAATAAAATAAAATCATCATAACATTACAAAAATAAAAAAAAGAAAAGAAAAGAAAAAGATAGTGGTATTTTTGAAATCATTTGTCATGTTTTAGTTTAAATGAAAGGACCACAAAAGGTAGTCATCACATATGAATGACAAAAAAAAAAATTAATTAATTAATTTACAATAGACCATTCATTATTTTTTAAAAACAAATATGCTGAAATTATATAATTTCAATTATTGAATAAATGTGATTTTTAAATAAATGTCCTACACAGAAATTTACAAAATAATAAGAACATGAGACCCGCCTTAGGCCTCACAAACCCAACATAACCAAATTAGACTTCTTTCAATTTGAACAAAAACAAGATCCTATATATAATCCAAACAATTCACTCGAACTATTAGCCTTTTTTGTGTCTCCATGTCATATAATGGGTTCTATTTTTTCTTTTTTTTTTAATTTTTTATATATATGATCAATCTTATAGATGTTATTTATTTCATAAATATGAGTGACAAAAAAAATTAAAATATAAAATGGTGAAATACATTTTCCCTTGTTTAAAATTCTTAAATAACTTACAAACACTCTTATGCGAAGATAATAATTACAAAAAAAATTAAATATTGAAGGTAGGTTCAAAATCAATATATAGAAATTAGAATGGATATTCCATAACTTCCAATACCCACGTCCCCACTTTTCGAGTCCCCATCTTCCCAATACAACCCCACATTTATCAACCAAAGAAAGAATAGAAATAGAAGAGAAATCACCATAGAAAGAGAAAAATTGCTAACTGGAGTTTATTCTCAATGGCAATCACATTTATATACATAAATACATACAAACCTGTAGATTCCAGGATGAATGTAAATTTTCACTCTCTGTGAATTGAGCAGAGGAACCATATCGACTGCACCTTGTATTGTAAATGAATCTCCCTTACCATTCTGATCAACAACGATTAATCGACTTCGATTCTGTTCCTCGTTCAAATCCAACCTCTCTTTCTGCAAATTCACCTTCATATCCTCCCAAGTAATGTAATTCATGGTGTAGGCTTGGCTCTTTCCAGAGCCCACTTCAATGCTTCCCAAAAACAGTACCAAAAATCCTGCAACAAGTGAGCCCATAACTTGATTTCCTCAAACCTTTGATGTTCTCTTTGTAGGTATCTTTGAATTTAAAAGTTGATGGAGTTGGACTAAGGTGCAAAGGTGGTGAGGAAGAAGTGGAGGCAATAAATATAGGAGGGTGGTGGTGTAAAAAGATGGTTTGTTGAGGAGTAGTTATGGAACTCCAAGAGACATTTTTATTGTATCCTAGTAGTGTTGGCACACACTATGCGGTGTACAAAAGTGAAATAATTAGATTGATAATTATGAATTAAAGAAGTTAAATAAGGTTAAAAATTACTCCAAGCATCTGGATAGAGGTGCGGTTGCACCTATTTATATTAAATTAGTAATAATAAAATAACTTTAAAAAATGAGGAATTATATGTGTATTTATCTCCCAAAGTTTGAATCTTGATTTGTCATAGTTTAAATAGTTATAGCGTCGACTTTGTCTATACCACCATAATTATTGTTTTATAATAGTATAGATGGATATAGATTCTTATATATTATGCATATACATATTTATATAACGGTTATGATTTTTTACTTCAGTTGTGTTTGTGGGGGAGGTGATTCGTGAAAAGTCAATCTGTTATGTGATAAAGCATGCAGGGGTGAGCGTAATTAGTAGCAGGGTCCACCTCAAAAGCATGAAACATGCATTACTCTCAAAATGTTTTGTAATTACATTCGTATTTGTATGAATTTACTTTTACTCTCTTGAATCTCTCCCCACAGGAACACGAGATTGATTTTGTGTCTTATTTGTTAAGTTTCAATGTTGACTATACTCTTGGGCAAATTATATCCATCATTCTTGTAACAACAATGATACATTCTACTAATTTGGGAACACTAATGGACCACTAATGATGTAGAAATTCAAAAAAAAAAAAAAAAAAAAAAAAAACTTAAGGCCAAAACATCCTATCAATCAGTGGGACCCACTCTCTAGAGCTCCTTTAGTGCTCTCAATTTAGAGCTCCCAAACATTTTTCTTCTTGTAATTTGTACCAATTTTACTTTTAATTTTTTACAATTTATAAATTTAGACGGTAATAATATCCTGCTAAAAAATAGACAGAAACTAAGAGTAAAATGATGCATCTAAAAGAGAATGAGTAATTTTAAATTGTATGTTACGCTCTTAATAGTTTTGAAAAGAGTGAATGAAATATGTTGTCTCTTCAATTTCCAAACATAATTTCTCAATTAGACTAAACTAACATATCATGACAATTTTAAAAATAAAATTAAAGTTATACAAATTATAAAAATTAAACTAACATAATAAACAAATTATAGAAACTGTAGATGAAATTTGTCCAAATTATACATGTTTAAAATTTTAGTGCTGCATTGAATCTGGTGAGATTTTTCTTCTTGAATTTTAGATACATTTTATTTATTTAAGCAAAAAAACATATTTTTAAATATTTTTTCCATATATGACAAAAATCAAATGTGAAAAAAAATGCTTATTTTGACTAGAAAATATTTTGTGAGACATGCCAATCTAATCACGGCCATTAAAAAAAAGCAATGCTAGCGATATAAAGTTTTTTACCAAACACTTACATGAGCGTGAGACATACTATATTCATGTGAGTATTTGATAAAAAATTTAGAGTATGTAGCATTTTTGTTTAAAAAAATATTTTCTAGACCTAACAAAATATATAATATTCAATTTATTTTTTTATTTTTTATAAACTACATTAACCACTCTTAAATTTAGAAAAAATATAATAAATATATATATATATATATATATATATAATAAATTCCATAAATTTGACATTATTACACAACCTCCATTTTAATAAGATTAAAAGTAACGAAAATAATGCATAGCCTGGGTAAACATAAAAGTAAAAATATAAATTTCAACATAAATTAGATAACAACATTAATTTCATGTACACGATTAATAAATTACTAATAAAAATAGGACAGAGTATTACTATTTAAATTTAAATTAAAAAAAATTAATGTATTATGTCAAATTTATGTGACTTCATATGTTTTTTAAAATTTTATAATTTATCTAAATATTATTTTTGGTCCAAATAAATTGTTTTATAAAAATTATTGAAATAGGGGAAAAAGAAATTTACATCTGGATAACACTGCGAAACTGTTGCATACCAGAGAGAGAATCAATAGCTGTTTCATCACTTTCTGCTACAATTCGTCCGCCATTCCCATCACCCTCATCATCCAATTTCTCCGCCATTGTTGTCAAGCCTGAGCTTTCTCTTCTCTCTTTGCCCTCTACTGCTTCACCGCTAAAAGCCCTAAAACCCTCTCGATCATCTACGATTAGGGTTTTTGCTGCACCTGAAGTCTTGGATTCCCTAGAAATCCTAGATGGTCCTGACTCTTCTACGCCTGAGGTTTGTAATTCTTCTAATTTAGTGTCATGAAATACTCTATGTTTCTCTGAATTTGAGGAGATTAATGTTAATTTGGGATGTTGAGGTTGGAGGATTGGTGGATTCTGGTTCGTCGCCGCTCAGTATTGGGGCCGATGCTGAGAAGGTAATCTTTTTCCCTTTATGCTCTGTTTGGTTGCTGAGAAAAGTTGAAAGGAAGAAATGACATTATGTTTTTATGTAGAAATAGATCCCAAAACAACTAAGCTCCACAACCATTTGCACTGGGATTGTGATTCTTGCTCTAAATGACATTTGTCTCTCAAATTTTATGAAAAATAGATTACATATGTTTTTACATTTGATAAGAATAGAAGAATGGTGATGTGTTGAGGAATTAACCAAATACACAGTAGCAAGAAGAATCAATTACAAATAAAAAAAGCATTACGTATATAGATACGTGGTTCGGCAAGATTAGTCACACTAGCTTCACTATATTGAAAAAAGAAAAGAAAAGAGTACAAATTGGTTGCTTGTTTAAACAACAATGTATATGTTAGGGTTCACAGCCACCAAACTCCCACCTTCGGGCTGGCTGCCGCCTGCAACCTCTCTGCCAACTAACTGCCAAGTTGGATTCGCAACTTCATGGTGAGGTGTACAATACTAATTAGGCTCCACAAACCCAATATGATAATCTTTTGAAAAAGAATAACTAGTCATTAAAATAGTCTTGCATTGGATAAGTGTCAATTGTTTTTAAGCTTTTGATGGCGATCTGTTTAGTCAAATATCTTGGAAGTCCATGTAAATCGTTCATGACATGAAACTGAATTTTCGATTAGATATATCTCTTAGATTTTTTTCTTAATATTCAGTAGTTTTAGTGACATTCCGGTCATCTTATTATGTTTTTTGTCCATTCTCAGATGGCACCGAAGCAGAAAATTAGGATTAAACTTAGGTCATATTGGGTGCGACTGATAGAGGATACATGCAAGCATATAGTGGATGCTGCAAGGACTACCAATGCAAAGACCATGGGTCCTGTGCCGTTACCAAGCAAGAAGCGAATTTATTGTGTACTTAAATCTCCACATGTCCACAAAGATGCCAGGTTCCATTTTGAGATCAGAACTCATCAGCGCCTCATTGCTATTCTATACCCGACTGCCCAAACAATTGATTCCTTGATGCAGCTTGACCTTCCTGCCGGGGTTGATGTGGAAGTCAAGCTCTGAGAAAGCATTGCTTCAGCTTCAATGAGCACTGTATGTTCACACTTCTTAATTTGAGATAGGTTAGACACCCCCTCTTAGAACTGTATATGAGAATTCCACCTCATACAGCCCAAGCAGAAAAACACTCAAATACTAGTTCCGATGGATATGTAATAGAAAGTTTGAAACTTCTTAATCTTTGATTCAATCTTTTCTATGGTGTAAGAAAATTGTGAAAGCTCTTCTTTGTGGCAATAATGCCAAATTATCAAGTTGGTTCAGTTGTCTTTATCTTGATCTTGATCATAGCTAAATAAGAGCACTATATTTTCCTACCGGCATTTGAAGCTCTCTTCAAATTTAAAAGCAAGCACAACCTCTAATTTGGTGGTAGTATCATGTCATGCTTGTACAAGAGTTGCTTGAGAATATTGTTGAATGAATAACTAAAATATTGGTTGCAAATGTTGAGTTCTTTTTTGTTTTTAAAGATGTTGCCCATGTCCATATGAGCAGTTTTGAAGGACAATTACTATGGAAGAAAATTTGGGAGATTTGTAAATCAGTGAGTATGGAGATGCAAGTGTTCTTGTGCATTCGTGCAAGTGAAAACTGTGGCCTTATTTGCACTAGAGCACATACTCCACTTGCACTATATTTTTGCAATTAATTTCACTTTTTTAACACTAATTTGCAATTTCCTCAAAATAAAATTTCCTGATTACACACCCTAATTGGTATATATGACATCTTTTATTCACTTTTTGAATCTTTTGATAGCCGAGTCAAAGTTTTTAAAGGTGAATGCGGACCTTAAGGCGTTTTACCCTTCATGAGGTGACGCGTAAGCCTCAGGGTGTTAAGGCGTAAGCATTTCAAATTTCACATTTTAATATTTAGTGAATAAATTAAATATTTTAAAATAGTAGAAAAAATAAAAACAATTAAATATAAAGGTGTAAATACTTTTTTCCTTAAGGTTTTGGACATTCTACTACATAAAAAAGGAAGTTTTCCTTTACTGAAAGAGAAATTGATATTCTTGACTTTAGTGATTGAACTTCTCACTTGATCATTAACTGTGTGTTTTTTTTTATTGATCATTTACTTATTTTTTCCTGTGGAATATAGTTGCAAAAATAGTTTCCTTTTATTTTTTTATGCTTAAACAATCTAATAGACTAAGTTTAACAAAAGCACAAGGCAACCTCTGCATGTGCGTATTTCTCACATGCTTATGTGCAAAAAGCGTACAAATCGCACTTAAAGTGCATGTCTCAAACTGTGATGCGCAAGCCTTTGGGGAGCAATGCCTAAAAATCAAAGCCTTGATACGTTTTACCTTAGCCTCGAGGCGAGGCGAGGCGAGCATCGAGGAGAGTCTTAAGAAAGCCTTTTAAAACTCTGGCCGAGTCCATAAAATTCAGGCTTTAATAACCAATTTTATTTCTTTAGGTGCAAAAGATTACATCTAGGTTGAGAATTTGCTCAGGGAGAGCAATTGCGGGGCTGGTGGTGAAGGGATGATGTTGTGGTTTTGTGCCTTGAAGGTAAGCTTATGATTTCTTATCTAGGAAAAACCTAGACAATTGATTTCTTAATGCTGTGTTTGGTTTGGGGATTTGGAGAGGGATTTGGAAAGGGAAATGGAAACGGTAGGTGAAATGTGAATAAATCATGCCTATATTTCACATAGTTTCACACACCTTTTTCCTTTCCCTTTCCAAATCCCTCCCCAAATCCCCCAACCAAACACACCATAAAAGAATGCTCAACCAAGTACAGTCCCTTTGGTAATTGAAGTCAATGTATGCTTTGTTTTGAAAACCACACCAGGAAACAAATTTACTAGTTCAGTGCATATCTTTAAGAATATTGAATTGGTCGATTTCATGGTTTTCCACACAGGGCCAATATTGATTAAATGTCACTACTCTGTTGCCAAATTTAGTTATCGATGGTTTAGATGCAAGATAATTTAAGCTTAATAGGATTAGGCTAAATGAGAGATATTCTGAATTATTATAATAAAAAAAATTCCACACTTTTATATGAATAATGTCCTAAGTTTCTTATGTTTCAAAATTTTTGTTATATGGTATTGATAATAAGTGCATTGAGACTTAGGTATAATCATATCTCAAAAATTTTATGGTAACATACCGTTAATAATGAACTAAAAAAAAAAATCATAAATTTAAGGATAAAGTATTCTGACCACTTGGTGCAGTCATTGTGTAAACTTTTATTAGGATTTAAATGCAATGAATCTAGTAAGGAGTGAGTGATTGTGAAATAATGATCCAGTCAATTAAATAAAGTTTCAATGGTCATTGAAAGATATTGGAGAAGAAATAAAGCAGTTGACACAGATTTATTTGATTGATGTTTTAATTAAATAATAAAATAATTAATGTAAAAAGTAATTTTTAAAAAAAATATTTTTAACACGTCTTTTTATAAAATAAATTAAATATAACAATGAATATTGTAATAAAATATTCATTTAATTTTATTCTTGTTCCAGTAAGCTAATAGGAGTCTGCTGTTTTGCATTTTGAAGAGCCACCACAAGCTTGAATCAAAAAAAGAAGAGCTACCACAACCACTAAGGTCAAGTTTGGCTACTCAAAATAAGTACGCATTTTTTATCTTTTTATCTTTCTTCTATCACATTATCTCTCTACTTTTCTATACATCTATTCGTAAAAAGACAAGAAGTGCACTTATTTAGGTCATCCCAAACAACTCTTAAGCCAAAAGTGACACAAACTGGGAGGGTCCTACGACGGTTGATTTGTGAGAATAATATTTGAGACGTCTAAAATTTTTGATTCTAACGATTTTTAATTAATTTATGATCCTTTATTATTTATTTATTATTTTTTTGTTTTAGGGTTGGTCTGGCAAGTGAAAAAAAAAATTAAAAAGTTAAAAAGTTATCAAAAAAGTTAAAAAGTTATCACTATTCATAAAAAAAATAAAAAAATTAATACTCCCTCCGTCCCAAAATATTGGTTCCTTTTGGGGAATCCAACTTTTTTTGATAGTACACTTATTGCATTTTGTACTTGATTTATAAAGAGGGACTAATATTTTGGGACAATGAAAATGGAATAAGGGACTAATATTTTGGGACGGAGGGAGTATATAAATATTGAATATAAATCAACTTTTTGACCCATCAATGTACTCACGTCAGGGCAGCTTTCATGTGTACATTCACTAAGTTGGATGGTAAAGTTGGGCCAGTGGGGGCCCACCATGGGTCCCGTTTTGATAATCTAAACCGTTGAAGATGTAGAACTCGTCTAGTACTATATGCCTATAAAAAATCACGTCTATCAGATATCCCTAACTACATGATCAAATCAGTTTTGTAAAAAAATTGAATGGTGTTATAGTTAACAGTTGACCAAAAAAACTAATAGGATCAGATAGTTATCGATATCTAATCAACGTGAATTTTTTACAAACATATAGTAATCGACGATTTCTACACATTGAACGGTTCCGATTAGAAAAAGGGACCTGTGGTGGACCCTTACAGGCCGAACAACACAGCCAATCAAAGCCCGAAAAGGAGGCAATCTTTTCCCATGTATTCACCAAGCCGCCTACATTGCTAATCCGTATAGCGTACTACACTATTTTCTCCTACACACTTCTTTATATAATTTTTTAATACACATTTTTTTTTTAAAAAGTCAAAAAATTAAATCAAACATCCATATTTTTTTCTCAATTTTTTTATTTTAAAAAGACAAAAAATACATTTATTTAGAACACCTCAAATAACCCTTTAATCTCTCTCCCTCTCTCTCACAAGGCGGCGGCGGGTGTTTGGGTGCTGGAGGTCCTTATCACAACTGTTTTTCGAAAGAATAATGTTTGAGGGCCCAAAATTAAGGGCTCGAATTTGGCTCGAAACCCAAAACGACAAATTTTTTTTTTTCTTCCATTTCTTTCTCTTCCTTTTCTTTCTTTCTTTTCTTCTTCTTCGTTGAACACAGGAGAAGAGCAGAGAAGAGAGAGAGAGAAACAGAGTCGTCGTCGTCGTCGTCGTCGTCGCAGCTCGTCGGCCGATCGTCGCAGCTCATCGCTCGTCGGCATCGCAGCCCCGCCTCCGCCTCCGCCTCCGCCTCTGCCCCTGCCCCTGCCCCTGCCCCTGCCCCTGCCTCTGCCTTGAATCTATCCTCGAACTATCCCCGTATATATGTATATATGTTTAGATCCATTACTATTATGCTTGTTCTTTTCTCTCAGTCTCTCTCATCTCCCCCTTCTTATTCACATTCTACCTCTGATTAGAGAGGAGGAGGATGTTGCCGCCTTATCGCCTCACCGCCTCATCACTCGTCTCTCTCACTCTCTTTCTCACTTACTCACACGGCTCCATTACCTCTCAATCTCCTTCGTCGCCGATTTACCACTACCTCTACCTCTATCTTTACCTCCGATCTGAGTTGAAACCATAGGTCAAAACCTTAGCTGCCGCCGATCTACACCACCTCTACCTCCTTTGATTTGAGTTAAAACCTTAGGTCGAAACCCTAGGTGAGGCAGACCTGCTGTCTTTTCTCTCATCGCTCTTCTTTATATTCATTTCTGAATTTGGGTTTATAGATATTTATTGAGAATGAAGTGAATTTTTGGGGATTAATGAAAGCTGGAGATTCATTTTCTCTCCCAAGTTTGCGATCTGTGTGCAGAAGAATATGTCTAGTTTTGTGGGTGTTCTTGTTTCTGATCAATGGCTTTAAAGCTAGTTCACATAGGTTGAACTTCGCAGCCTCAAATCCAAGGTATTATTAGAGTATACTTGAATTCTATTGTTG